TCCTCTTTTCTCTCTCTGATTGTGTGTAGGTGTATATATTCGCGTATATATATTATATATATATATATATATGCTATGTTTCTTAGGTAATAGGTATCAATAGTGTCTCTTGTTTATAGCGTTAAGAATTAATTTATTAAAACTTTCTCTATTATCTTCATTTTCATAGTCTCTTTAATTATTTCTGGCCATGCATTAATTCCTTGCAATTTATTTTTATCGCACAAATCTCACAAATCTTTCTCGCTTTCGCTTACTCTCTCTCTCTCTCTCTCTCTCTCTCTCTCTCTCTCTCTCTCGCCCCATCACATAGTTAAATTTTTCTAAAAACTTTTACACGCTGTATATAGTCACATCGAACAGCTCGAGGCATCCTGCTGATTGTACTTGTATTTGTTGATAATGAGATTTCCATTAAACGCCTTCCATTCCATTCTTCGTTCTCGAGTTCTCGCAACGATAAACCCCCAACTGCAACACCCCCAACTGCAACACCTTTCAAAACGGCGTTTCTAAAGTGTTCTAACTCGTAATCGTCACTTTTTTTTCTAGGATTCATCTCGAGCGTTCAACAGAGTGATAAATCGAGAATGCGAGCGGTCGAAAGTTTCTCGTCGTATCTTGTTGGAAGTTTACCGTAGAAATTTACAGCTATTCCCTCCTGGATCAACTTGTACGACTTCTCGGTATCGATTCGACTCCGTTGTTTATATCGGTAACACATCACCTCGGGAATCTTGGTGTCAAGAGAATCGGTGAAGGATATCGATCTTTCATAAACTGAAATTATTATTTTACCTGAATAAAATATTAGGGGAGATGAACTCGGCTGCGAAGGAAAAGTCTTCGTAGCGACAAAGTCTCTGAGAAAAATGGAAAATGCATTTAACTTAGTGTCATAGTGATCATAACTGATTTTTCTTACACTTGCATTATTGAAGTGTCAAGAGAATATGAGATCTGTGAGACGTTTAAGTTTTTAAACTAGTAACTTTGCCCAGATAACGGGCAAAATCGGCTATAATACTGATCGACGTTTATCTTTGCTCGCATTGCTCGATGTATCAACGTTCGACCGCAAAACTTGTTTCGCGGTGAGTAGTCGGGAGTACATAATTCTTGCCAGATGAAGTGAAAAATCGTAGCTACAGTCAGAAACATATTATAGTCTCTCGAGTACAGTTACGATTACTGATTCGCTCTTTCCGTCTGTTATACAAGGTATCCCAAAATCACCAGTACTTTATTTACTTCATTATATCGTAGAGGTGATTGTTAGCGAAAGTCTCACACAGTATAATTTATTTCAATTTTATTTTATGACATAAAATGTCGTGATAATTAAAATTTTATCAAAATAAAATCGGTTTAAATATTAAACAATATGACTTTTTTTCTATCTCTTTAATTTTAAATCTTTACTTTTTAATAATTATATTTTTTTGTAGAACTTATAATGATGATTAAACTAAATGTTAAAGTCTTTCGAATATATTTCGAATATATTTATATATTTTTTTCTTAACTTGCATGTGTAACCTCTATTATCTATTACGAAATATATTCCAGTGATTTTGGGGTACAATTCACACATAATCATGATTGGATATATTCTATTTACATGCACGTCTTGTCTTATTAAACTCGCCCGTTGTTGTGCGTTTAGACATGTCATTAATTATATATAATATAATAAGTATAATATTTTATATTAATCTGAGTTTCTAGGCAGTTGTGTGTTTTATGTTATATATGTTAAGGTTTATATAACTAAGATTTTTCTTTTCCTCTTTTCGCTATTGTTTTCCTCCTTTTCTGCCTTTTTCTCTGATTCTCCTTCGATTAAGTCATCTTAGAAAAAATGGATTCTACACATGCGTGATTGATCATCCTACTTGTTAGGTTTTACAAAATGAACACGTTGATCTATCGAGAGAATAATGATCGAGCTGTTCGAGAAAAGAACGTTTACACCCATCTTTTCCAAATTTGATTTTTTTCATATCTCAAGTAATAATGTGATTATTTTTATCATTAAACGAAACTTATTTCAAGACAAACAAAATTTCATGATTATATAGATTGTCGAGACGATACACGAGATACAGATATATCGATAAAATTCATTTCGCGCGCAAATAATTGACATTATTCGGATACGATTATCGTGCCCTTCTCGAAGCGCTCGAAATTATTCCGGTCTTTGATACATCTCTTGTCTTGTCTCGCTCGCAAGTGTTACTGATTCATACACCCTGGAAATGGTCATTTATGAGTGATCTTGATTCAAATCGTCTTTTAGTATTTGTCTCGGCATCTGCTCGCGTTTACGCGCGCGAGAAGGAAAGATCTCATAAATTATTTATAAAGAATAATTGTGATAGTCGCATTTGTTTATCTAAACATGTGGTAAATTACGAGGGTTTATATTACGGAAATGCTACGAAAGAACAGTATATATGTGTCTCCTCTCCCCCTGATGTCCTAATTGGTGGTATTGAGCAAAGTGCCGTAATTACGTACTCGTTAAACTTACTCCGTATGAATTAGAAATTATGCGTATCCTCCTATTGGTCGTTTATCGCTACTTAACAGTAGACTATCTGGCGATTACTTGCGTTATTACTGCTAAAATGTATGTAAAAGGGAGCTGCGTCTCGCTAATATTGATTAAAATTGTAAACTCTTTTTTTTTAATAATTTTCAATGTATTCGCTAGATCTCTCTTGGGATAAATGCATGCTGATAGCTTTATTAGCCGAGGGAAGAAGGATTTTTTTTGCTGAATCGAGATTCAAATGCAGCCGCGGGGAAGAGTACAGTCAACGATATATTTTTAATTAATTAATGACTAAGCATTTTAAACTCTTCTAATGTTGCAAAAACATGTTTCTCGTCAAGAGTTTAGTTCCTTGACAGTTCGAAAGTGCGGACGAAAATTCCGTTGCTCGTAAAATAACGCCGCGAGTCGTCGAAGGCATCAATCATTTTACACAATACACAAATACGTGTGCTTGCGTTAAGAATATTCAGTAAAGTATTTACGTATGGAGAAGTTTCTCTCGTAGATGTACGGTCCACGATTAGATTAAGCTATGTTTCTCGTCGTCTTTGTTACGAATCTATCCTTTGCTATCATTTAATGCAATATTACAAAATCGTAATCCGAAGATTTCGGCGCATCGATTAAATGCACGCTCCCTTTCTCGCATTGTCTCGCTAAATTTGTTCGATTAAAGCGATGTGACGATCGGTTAATACTGTAGTTTTTCTTTCTAGAAATTTTTCGCATAATTATAAAAGCAGAATTATCGCTTGCAAAAAAATACGTGCGTGCAAAATTAAAAATTTCAGCATTTCTTTTTATCTTTTTTAGAATTTATTGAAAATATTTTTGAACTACCTTCTATACAAGCTATCTCCTATCTTCCATTAAAAAGCATTTTCATTAAACCGGCTGTTACATCACTTTAATGAATCGACCGTAACGTACCTATATATCTTCGACTCGTAATAGTCGTACATATACACTTTTTTTTTGACGATACGAATTTTCTCCCTTCAGCGACGCGTCCCGATTTGTTTAGATGGAAGCACGAAATGTTTCACGAGGCCCGCGGAAAATATCACAGTCCTGAGGAAAGTCACGAAACTATTTGCGACGCATCCAGGAGTTGTTGGTCGGGTAGCTATTTTGAAAGTAGCGTGAGTCCAAGTTTGACGCGTCCTAAATTCTGAAATACAAATTCGTGCGATGTATTTTCGTAAGTTCTTTTGAAAATTCTTACACGCCATTTTCAAAATTATCAGTTTACGTAACGCAACTCTTGCGAAGAATATAGGTCGCGTTACGTGTTCCATGAGATTTGTAAAACCGATCTTGTTCTCAAAGCACTTATGGCTGTAGGACGATTCAGAACGACGGTTCATGCAATCGGTGCAGCAAGTGCGGCGGTGGAATTCAAACAAAATGGCGTAACACCCAATCCATTATGCTTTGATAAAATCGTCTCCGTAAATATGTAAATATATTTTAGCTGCAAATCATAATTGGCGATTCTTCTCTCTGTTGCAATTATTGAGTTGTCAATTTAAAAAAATATATTGCTATAATTTTGATATTTTTGAAATTGAGAATAATACGTTATAGATGTAAATCAAGCTTTCGTAAAGTTCAATACAAGCATAGCTCGGCAGTGTTTAATCAGCAATGAATCGACTCGCGTGTAATATATATACTCGTAAGCGTAATCAAACAGCATGAAATAATGAAGCTGCAGGTCGAACAGATTTTGGGAACAGTTGATATTCTTTGGCAATCTTATTTAGTTGAAAGATACTATACAGTAGCATGTGTTATGAAATAAAAGGTAATTTTTATCTCTTATACACAGTAAAAATTTAATTAATTTAATTAATTTAGTTAATTTTGGTCCAATTTTAAAAATATAGAACAGATGCGAAATTAGCATGAAAATGCAATTCGTTGCATTGCTATCAATTATAGAAGTTTGTTATAAAGCGAGGTTTGTATTTCTTTTTATTGACACGTGGAAGCTATTTCCGGAGTTTTTTAGTTTATCCCTAGAAGCTTGGTATCTGTCTTATATTTTTAATTTTTTCCTTGGAGATTTCGTTATGTTCGCACATTATAAGTGCACTTGTCTGACCGTTATATATTATATAGAGTATTTTAAAACTGTACTCTCTCTCTCTCTCTCTCTCTCTCTTTCTGACAAATGCGAATTCATGGTGAATTCATTGACAAATTTAGAGTCCATTTCTCCTTAAAAACTAATATCAATTTATCAATTATAAGCAATTAGATATATATGAATAATTTTTCGTATATTATCTTCAAAGAGTACAAATAGATGTAACGAAACTTTTTTTTATTCGCGAAGCATATTTAATTTTAAACAAATTTTATATAAGAGGTTTTATTTAATATTTATCTATTAAGGTATTAAATGTTGCAAATTAAAAATGCCTAAGAAATTTTGTATCTAATTGTAATGATGTTTGATGTATGATAGTAATGACATTTATATTTGTCTTCAAATCAAAATATAAAAAACAATATGGCTACAATGACAATCGTGCTGCATTCAATACGTATTTTGTTTTCAGTTCAACGTCAGGAATTTTATACGATTAATCACCTATAATCTGTTCATTCTATCTGTTCATTCTATCTGTATATTCTTGCATATTTAATATATGGCTGTCTGATTCTGTATTTTGTTAATTTAATATATGGAAATCGTGTGCTGCGCATGTTGTAAACACATAATATGAGATTCAGGCGACCATAATTGATACTAAGTGTGCGTTAAGAATTTAGTCTTTATTTTTTTGAAAGAGAACTTTTTTGAAGATTTTTCCGACCGCCTTGCGATTAATAAAATAACTCAAGTATAAGCTAGCTGTGTCTTTGCGAATTTATCTTGATGCGCCAGAAAGGTAGCGAGATGTTACGAAATCGTGATTCATGCTTTTATTTCCATGTATTTTATGATTATTATTTATTTCAAGTTAGAATATATATATAGCACGTGTGCTTTAATGCTCCTGATGCAAATTGCGAAATGATGAATATGTATATCCGGATTATTAAGTTAAGTTTGAAGTCTGGACGGAAATGCCTGACAAATAATCGCAAAATCATGCCGAATAATTTATAAGCGTGTAAGAAGTACCGAGTTAAAAACAGTCATTAATCTTTCTTTAACATTATGAGGTTATTACGCTTGTCCGATATTATAAAATTAAGTGACGTTTATAGGAGGCGGATAATTATCTTTCAAATGTGACCGCAATTTACGTTATCGTGAACGGCGCTGATCTTGATATCTTCCTTTCAAATCCGATGGCGCATATCATCTTGAAAATAATCTTCCAAGGGTCCTTTCTCGACGCCATTTCGAAGAACCGATCGCGTTTCCGCGCTGAATCCTCGTTTCTCGTTGGAGGCGCGATGGAGTCCCTGAAGTAGAAGTCGGCAGTTCTCTTGGTGTAGATTAGTTGGTCGTTTCCGTTGGAAATATCTGTGGATATCCTCTTATGATCTTTTGGCAATTCAGAACACGTGTCCTCACAGGCTCCAGTAATGCCACGGTACTCGCAGGATCCTCGGCGATCGAGCAAAGTCGAGAAATCCCGGCACGAACGTCCTCAAAGAGGATCAGGACGCGCCATACACGCAGGCCGAGTTGTCTGGTGGACTGATTTTCTCCACCGGTAATACCGCCGCTCTGTGCCACTCGTCACGAACCTGTTTTCCGGAAATGACAATGATTGCATACTGTAGCAAGATAAGAGAACGAAAAGGATCTACAGTCAACGTTACATTTTTGAACTTCTTTTCTAAAATTGTGAAGAAAATAAACTTTTTGGCAAGAATATTATTGGGTTCCTATCAATTTTTGCTAATTTTTATTTGCAACAGCAGTTGAAATAATACGTATACATTATTTTACTATTATAATTTTTACATTGATTTCTAAAATTTATTCTAGCTGTATTTAATTAATTCTTATTGTTTTTTATCTTTTCTATGCAAATTTATCTCCTTTATTCTTTATATAAAAACAATTTCAACGAATAAATAATAAATTGCGAAAATAAGAGCAAGTCATAACGCGCTCAATTAGTTTGACAAGCATGCTACAAAGAGTGCTAAAACTTTAAAACGTGCTTAAAGAATGCTAAAATAATTGTCCGATAAATTTAACGTATCCGCGATTAATCTCAGATAGTATCCCGAATTATGGATCGCGTCGTTGGAACTCATTGTCATACAGGATTATATGTTTTGTCAGAGTAAGTAACTAAAATGCTTTTTATTTACAACTGTCGCAAATGGTGATCGTAAAAATTATAGCCTGCATCCGTTTAAAAACGAGCCATACCTGTTCAACTTTCGCGAATACTCTCAGTAAATTGAGACCGGCCAGCTTCTTGATGTCATCTTCCGTCCATGCTGGATCTTCCAGCAGAGTGGCCAGTAGTTGTGGATACCTCGAGACATCTTCTAAGCCCGTGGGAGTACTGTGGAAAGGATAAAAATCTCGTATAAGGGTTAAACGATTCATTTCGTTGATTCGATATTCAGAGAAAGTTAGTCGATACCATTTGACTTTAAATTGTTTACATTTTTGAAAAAATATTGTCCAATAAATACAGCTGCTTTTTAATTTCTTTTCAGTGTTACAATTACATGTATTGATTAAAATTTAAACCATAAGCCACTATAATTTTACATTAATTCTGTGAACAATCTTCTTATTATTATAACTAAGCATTGAATTTGAATACAGAAATGTTATCCTTGTAAAATTAGTTTAATATAAAATGCACATTAACTCAAATATAACGAAACATTCGCATAAAACCTTATGTTTTTACTTGAATGATGAATTTTGACGTTTTTAGAGCACATAATAATAACAGAAATATAAATTAAATTTTTTTGTCTAAAATAATAAAGTATTAAGAACTACATTAAATGTTATAAATGTTAAATTGAAGCCGATTTAACATTCAAACAGTATCATGAAATAGAATAAGGAAAAGTTATATTAACAGCGATATATTTTGTAATATACATTATGAGAATCATCATAAGTACTTTGTGAAAGTTTCATGGCTATAGAACAAAAGCAGCTCCTTCGTCATTGTTTCATGAGTCCCCCGTAAAATTAACCTCCCGGGACTCATACCCTTTTCAAAACAAGCGAAGCAATTATTCCGAGTGTTGTAAAAGAGCGGAACTCTGTGGGTTAAATACATATTTACGTATATTACGCGGGGACTGTGGATTTATTGCGTGATTCGTATCTTTCAACAAGATTAATCATAAATATTATTGAATTGAATTATGCGACAACGCGCCCCCTCTTTCTCTGAATATCTCTACCTCTTTCGTACGTAGAAATATAGTGAAAGAATAATTACAAATTTATCCCGTCGAAACCTGCCCCGATCCCGACGTGATCGATCCCCGCCACCTTTCGAATATGATTGATGTGTGCTGAAACAGTGCAGAACCTTAATCATTCCCCGTCATGGTGGCGCGTAAAAAGCGCGCGCGTCACATAAAATATTTTATTATATTTTAATATAAATGCATATGCGCGCGTTTACCCGGGGGAATAAAATGTGACTGAGGAATAATGCGCGGTTATGAAGTAACGCGCTTATGAGATTGTCACGCATGCACGCGTAAAATAAAATGTCCTTTTATTATTATGACAACGAATTTTTCAAATATTTGCGAGCGTTAAAATGGAAGCAAATATTATATCCCCTGTAAAAAGATAGATAAATAAGATGCATTACACAGTATTCTTGTAAAATTGAGATAAATGTTCGTTTGAAGAGTATATCGGACAAATTTTTTTTCTAAAGAAAAAGTGACTTTGAAAATGAAATTTGCAGCCAACAGATTCTTTCGTGACGTAACATATGATAAATATGATAATTGCACGTGTAATATCGATACTTCGCAAATAGCGTTTGTACGTACCAATAACGTCTTTTATAGTAGCAGTGCTGTTGCATGTTATGAAGTAGGTATAAAAAGGGATCATTGCCACTCCGCCATTCTTAGCCTGCGAATAAATGTCATTAATATCATACACGTTGTGATCATTTTTTTTCAATTCTTAAATGCATAATAAAAAAATATGTTATAGCATCACACCTTTATAAAATTATATATATATATATATATATATATATATATATATATATATATATAGAATTTATTTATAAGAGATTACCGAGATTATCGAGAAAAAAATCTTAATTTTATTGCTATTTTAAAAAAATATTATATAACTTAAAATTTAAACAGCACAATATAGAAATAAGTAGAAAATATTTTACTAATTTTATTGATTAAAATTAAATTGTTTTACTATCACTTATCTTAAAGTCAAGCAAGAATTGAAAAACTTAATAATACGAAATTAATTTTTAAGATTGTTGTAATAATCAAGAATTAGAATTAATTCTATAAGTATCCTTATTTTATTTAAGTTGTTTTTCTTTAATAGAAACATGCAAAGTCAGCAATTCGGATTTTGAATATTATTCATATTATTATAGTTACGTTCCACAAATCTTATATCATATTAATTATTTAAAAATTTGTACAATATGTAGTGTGATTAAATCTTGGAGATGTTCCAAGAAAATAGTAAATGATAAACACAATCGAAAGCCATATATAAAATAAATATCGAAGAATATTGTAAACTTTATTCGAGATTAAGTTATCTTTTTGTATCAGTTTAACGGAAGTTATCAGGAAAACTATTTCAAGGGACGCGGTTCGCAATTGTCTATTTGATACCTAACTTTGCTTAAACTACATGGGCAATGTTAATTAGGGCAGCAGGACGGTACGGTTAATAACACGTTACCGGGCAAGCCATCCGGCTTAGATCGTTGTTACTCATCCTCTCGTTCTGCGGGTATAATTAAGGGAATATTGATCGTTCGTGGAAGAGAATGAAGTTTGTGCGGAGATGTTAGACTGACTTCTCAAGAAGCTGACGAAAACGCCGGTTAATTAATTAGTAACTATCTTCTTTCTTGGAGGTGTCCAACAATCATTTATTTGTATCATTTTAAATTGAAGATGCGTTTCAAAAAGATAAAAGATATTCATAAACAATAAGTTTTAAAAAAGAAGTGTTAGTATACACAGTAGTTTTGTCTCTAAATTATCTTTTTATGTTTCTAAAATTGAATATATGATTTTCTAAAAAATCATATATTTAATTTTAGAAACATAAAAATCATCAATAGCTGATTACTCTGAATGCTTATCAAAAATATTTAACAAATGATAGGAAAAAGAAGGGGTAACTAATCTGAATTGTAACATCATCAAATGTGAATGTTCATACGTCATCCATGTGTCATCGATTATTTTATTATTTCGATATTTATAATATATTTTTATATTTATATAATTTTAACTTGTTTCTGAAAAAATAATAAAATAATAAAAAATTATAAAATTATATCTTAATTAATTTTTTATACAACTATATATTTTATTTGTATCTTTCTTTTTCTCTCTTTAAATCAAACTTTGATTAAGATTATGTATTATTCTGATGGATATTGAATGGCGATATATTATAGAATGTATTATGAAGCTTAAAATTATTGTATACCGCTTGCGAAAGTCGAAGTGTTGAGATAATCGGCAATAAGTTGAATTTAATTTCGCTAACTTAGTGCTCCTTGAGCTTAATCGTTGGTTCGTCAATCGTTAATCGACGAGCACGCGCCGCGAGAATGAGATGAAATTTTAATGAAGCGTCGTTTAAGTTCTCGCTCAGCCAACTGTTACACAATTAATCAGCCGTCAATTATTACACCGCGTTTATGCTTCCCACGAATTTAATGGAAAAATTTTGATGTCGCGATCAGAAGAGAGAGAGAGAGAGAGAGAGAGAGAGAGAGAGAGAGAGAGAGAGAGAGAGAGAGAGAGAGAGAGAGAGAGAGAGAGAGAGAGAGAGAGAGAGACAGAGACAGAACGAATCAGATTAGCGCCAATTGGATTAACGCCAATCGTTGGTAGTGGGTGTGCGCAAAATTAGCGATAATAACGTGGATTAAGCTTCAAACTTCTAACACACTCGTGCTATTTTGGCGCGTTGTTTCCGGAGTCGCAGTCGCTTGAAATCATTTTGACATATCTGCCCCCGAACCTCGTTCCATCGATTACGAATAGTTTGTGATTACTCGAACAATTTCAACGTTTGATACTTTTGTGTACGTTAATATAGATCCTACGTTCTTGTATGCTTTCAAATACACATACACACACACACACACACATATATGTATTACCCCACGTACGCTTTACAACTTTGTGGATTACAAACTATTCTCCTATCACATTCGATTCGCACACGGTTTGCTTCACTTCGCTTGCACTCTACGAATTTAATTTTGACGTTACGCATCTCGCTCCCAGAGATATCAGATCTGTCGATAAAACTTGCGTTTAATCACCGGTACAGCCCGTATATCTTTCGTTTTGCTTTCACATCGTTTTTATTTCTTTTTACATACGTTCAAACGATACAAAAAAAAGGAAATAAAAAAAGATTGCCAGCGGTTATTTGTTTTTGCACACATACGTATTATTTCTCCTCATACTTGTGTATGTGAATATTTATATTATATCTTAACTATTCAATATATTTCAGTCTATCTATATATTTTGCATTATAACGTTATTTTAATATTATTTCTTCTTTAATTATACAACTTGATTAGATTTATATAATAAATTGCAATATAGTAATTTTATAAATAAATTCTTGATAAGGTTATTTTGTGTTGTAATAAAATTGATAATTGCATCGTGAGTTTATGCTTTATGTGTCCATGTTGAGTTTATTCTCTTCTGTTTCTTAAGTATTGTACTATTATATTATTATACAATTATATTTTATATACATTATTGTATTATTATATTATTATATCATTATATTTTATTATATTTTTATACTATTATACTATTATATTATTATACTACATTAAGTTTCGAATAATATTTAAGAAATAGAAAAGAATAAATCTAGAATCGACAGCTGCATGCTCAAGATTATCGATTTTATGATAACATGAAATAGTCTCATCAAGAATTTATTTATAAAGTTACTATATTGCAATTTATCACGTAAATCTGACAAAGTTATATATATATATATATATATATATATATATATATATATCGCGGTTCTATGGGCAGGTTATCGCACATCAATATTAACTTTTGTTAAAATCGAGCTTCATCGATCTAGTTCATCCATGGCAAGCACACATACATATGTATATATATATGTATGTATGTGTGTGTGTGTGTGTCGGTCCGCAATTAAATAATTTCGATGTTAATCGAGCAAGGGTTACATCGTAGCGGCGAACAACTTCCGATTTACATTCTCGAGAGCGTGCTTTGATTTTTTTCCATCATTGATATTGCTTGTAGCACAAAGAGATATTCATTCAATTTTTTTCTGTAGTCTGTTCGTACTCTGTATAGTGTTTTCTAATTGACGGACGTGGTATCGGAAAAAGACTCGAATAAATAAATAAATAAATAAATCTGTCTGCACACGTACACATAGTCGACGTAACATTTTTTTTCGTGACAAACACTTTTCGACTTGACTCGCTATCTGTTTTCGGAAAATGTGTAATATCAGCAAAGCAGTGATCGAATCGATTCGTTTTTCTTGGTTTTTTTTTACGTATTTGATTGCTTCCCGTATTCTTGCCTATGTAACGTGAAAAACTCACCAGGTTTCTGAGGACGTCGTCCGGCACGTTTCTGGTGGAATTGCATAGCGCCCTGGCAGCGCTGTGCGAGAAGATTACCGGCGCCCTCGTAGTCTGCAGAGCCGCTCTCATCGTTCTTGTCGAGACATGCGAGAGATCGACCAACATGCCCAGCCTGTTCAATTCCCTGACAACTGCCTGGAGAATAATGAAGCGCGCGTTAAATCTCTTCCATCTTTTATCTGTATAAATAGGTTCACACACACGTATGTCTTCATACATGTTTAGAAAAAGATAGAGTAAAAAAAAAGATAGAGTACATCAACTGAAGGATCATGTTAAATTTACATCGAGACGTGTATTAAATCGCGTGACTTGTTTGCAAAAGATAAATTAAATTTAAATAAAAAGCAGAATGGATATATAAATAGGTAGAGAAAAGATGTTGTACACACAGCTTTTTTAAATTTTAGCCGATGCTTTTCGCGTGCTATCGTCTTTTAAATATCGTTTTCTAAGCAACAAATCGATAGCAAAAATACTCTGTGAGAAAATCGAAACAATTCAAGTATCGTAAGTGTTCTTCGAAGTGATTGAATATCGGATGGCATGCTGGATTTGAGACGAGGTGCCTTTATTATGAAGCACGTGGAAAGGATCGAGGGAAGGCCGAGAAAAAGGTAGCACAGGAAAACGAAGGAAACACCGACGATTGAACCAGCAAACATTAGTCGAGAACGCAAGCAACCGTCGAATCATTCCATCATCGAAATCGAGGGAAAAAGCTTGGACGTATTGGTGGGTAATGGGTAGAATCGAGCTTCGTGTATTTGTCTAAAGCCTTCTACTTTGATAAACACGTAAATCTTCACTTGCATCACTTATCTCAAGAGCTGAGTAAATTTAATTTTGAAGCGTTGCGAGACAGTTTCAATGAGATATAAATTGGCACATTAATCCCGATCAATCATCGAAACTTGACTCATCTTATTTTCACAATTAACGAATTATTAATCCTGTGGAGGATTATTGAAAATAACTAATTAAAGGTAAACAAATATGGTTTAATTAATAATTTCTTTCTTATTTTCTTTTTATTGTTAAAATTTAATTAGAAAGTTATTTTACAAAAGAAAAAAATTATATTACGCGTGAAAAACTGTTAAATATTAATATGTAAAGCAATGATGTAAAAGATATTTTGCTGATATTTAAAAATATTATTGTCTGATATTCAATTATTTATTTTAAAAGCTACAATGCGTTTGAGTGTTCTACATGAATTCTTTACAGAAATAGCGAGCAATTTTTGATAAAGACAGCGTCCTGTCGACGCGAGCGGAAAAGGAAATGGAGGAAGGTGGGTGGAAGAACGAATCACAATGGTCCCGTTTTTCCGGCTTTAAGAGAGAGGGTGTAGTTGGCTTTTCTCGGCGCGCACGATTTCATCCGAACGATGCGAGTCTCGATGCGTCGATGACAGAAACGACGCGCATTGTTTTTGCAAGAAGCAGCGTCTGACGCGCGTCGTTTCAACCAGACGGACGATTACGCAAGGATTATACAAGGGGTTATACAAGGACGATTATGCAAGCGGTTATTTCTTATCAATAGCATTAATAAATGACAAGCAAGAAACATCAATTGTATGCAAAATGCATAATTGTTTGCAAAATGAAGCGAAAACATGCAAATAAAATCGTGAATGGTAAAAATCGATGGAGTAAACAGATGTGAAATTTTGCAAATTATTTTAAATTATTTTTATTAACGAACGAAAATCAGCTGCTTGAGAAGGAATTTGACATATCGTACAACTAAAAAAGAAGGAGTACCATTTAAATAATATACGCTAATCTTTTCATCAATGATTTAATTTTGTTAAATTAATAATATTGCGTATTTAATATTCATCGATGTATTCGATATCACGTGGCAATTCTTGCGAGAATCGAGAGGGAGAAACCGAATTTTGCAGTCGTCAGTATCCCGTAACGGGCGAATGGCGAATTTTCGGCCTTAATCCGATGCCTGTTGCTGGATATCGAGCGCGACGAGGCTGGACGAAACTAATCGTCACATCCAAAAGCCGCAATAAAATCAAGCCCACGTTGAAACCGTGACAAATACTACGCCGCGAGCTATCGCCATAATTCCACGATATATCACCGCGATGTGTTAACGGTGATTCGAAGTGCGGGTGTGCGTGCGCGGGTGCGTGCGTGGCGTACGCTCGTGTCGTACATGCGCACCTGGGGAAACGCGCGCATGCCGGAAAATACGGGTCTCGTTCGATAGAAATAACAGGCTGAAGGAACAAGAGGGTAAAGGGTAAAAATGTCGAATTGCGAGCGCGTTTGTGGAAACAAACGTACACGCGCGACTAGCATCGTCCGAGTTGCCCGCCGTCCATTGCCGGAAGTGCACATGTCGGTATTTACAACGGCAGGACATTACGAAATATATATGTGTATATATATATATATATATATATATATATAAATACATGCGAGGGGATACGAGAACAATTTTCAGATAATTCCATTTATCTTTCTGAACAAGCCGTAAAGTTGCGACTTTTTTTTTGTAAATGGCACGTGATATCTACTGTTTCATCCGTTCGTGCTACGAGTAGATATTTTCAATATATATTTAAACTTTGACATATTGTAATTTAGAAAATTATGTATCAAAGTTAAAAATTTTTGGGAAATTATTGTATCAAAATCGTTTATGATTCTATTCAATTATTTACATTACGAACCTCAATTTTCATGTCTCTTTTATTTACTATTATTATACTTGCAGTTACATAAATTTGCTTCTTCTTTTTATTTGTATTTCGAGATTTAGAAAGTGTAATGAGAGTGGAAAAATCTTTCTTAGAATGATTAATCTTTGTTGAAAACTGAACTAGCATACAAAATAACTCATGCTTGATAAAAAAATATTTTGATATGATAATGAGGAGGACAGTATTATTTTTTAAATAAATTATTACATTTTATGGTAAAACTATAAAAATATCTTGTCGGTACTATGCTACTAATAATAACATTTTTGTATCGTCGATATTTCAATGCAGCTAGAAATATGCTACAATAATCGAGACATGTCAGATTTTTTGTTCGTAAAATAACAAATAGTAAATAATACAAAACAAGATTGATAACATTTCACGAGTGGAACATTTTTTTTATAAAATAATTTACTAGCTCAACTCTATTCTTCTTAATAATTAATAAACATGTCGAAACAAGAGAATTTTGATTCTGGCAATATTTAAATTAATTAATTCTATTTTCTTTTTTATAGCAAGAAAAATTAATAATAGATAATAGATATAAATAATAGATTAGCAAAAAATTTTGTAGCTGGGGAATTTAAAGTGTTTGTAATTTTTAATTTAAATAAGAAGGTTAAAAGAGAGTAAAAAATTAATACATTTTTATGTAAATAATACATCAAAAGCTACATTAATTATAGAAAACAGTTTTTTATGGCTAAATATATGATGTATAATATACATATTATGATATATAACCAAAATAAAATCTTTTAAAAATAATATTTTAAATATTATATCTTCAAATTTTAAAATAAAAAAATTTTAAATTTAAAGATGTAATATTTGGAAAAACATTATGTTTAAAAGATTTAATTGTTGAAAAATTACAGATGGCAAGAATATCTATTTAGCATTTCACGAGAACGAATCAATGACAAACTATGGAGCATTTAGCGACGCGCATCGAATTTTTCCCCAGAAAACTTGTCATTTATTAATGCGAGATTTAGCCGTTGCAAGGGATGCGAGATAACGGAGGTAGACCGTTTGATTTACGTCCTCACGCGTTTCCCTCGTCCGTTTTCCTTTTCCTCCTTCCTCATATCTGTTCCTCCCATTAAGCTTTTCGCTTTTTTTCACTTTTTAAATCAGAACCCGCTATTGTCACGAGACTACGAATTTTGGCAAAAAAATTTAATCGATATGATGAAATGATCCGGATGCGGATAGGATTCGTTTCGTTTTTTTTTTTTTTATTTTCAGACGGATCTCGGGATTCACGTAATGTCAGAAGGCGCGCGCGGCAGAAATCCGTCCCGACGTGATCGTCGAACCTGCATTAATGCTCGAAATCCCTCGACGAATTCAATGCGCTAAAGTGGGTCGAGATATAATTTTATGAACGCGGCGGAGCGATGAGAGTGATAAACGGAATGTAGGTCGAACGCAATCGGTCGCGCGTTTGTTGACGATCATTTTCCAGGTTACGTGGCGGAAAAATAATTCGAGCCATCGAGACGGTGAAATTGCAATCTAAATCCTGCCGTAAGAATTGAAAACGCAGATTCCCGACATAATATGAGCGTCCTCGCCTTCACTCTTTTCGCTCGTAAGGTCTCGTTTATCAGGGTCGAAAGTCATTGGAAAATTTAAACTTGAGATATGATAAACATTTTGCCGAATATTTCTTAATCCTTACTTCGTATACGAGGATTACTTTGGGACCCATTATTTTTAATGATATTGATTCAGTCAAAAATTAACGGTAAGACCGTCGTTCCTAAAAAAAATTGTTAAATCGAAGAAATGAAAGCGAGGAAAGACTACTTGTGTCAGTTTTTTTCTGAATGGAAAGCGAGAAAAATCTTTCGAGGACAAAAAAAGACCCTCCTATACATTTGTATACTTTTAAAGGGACATGAATTTTTACTTTTCTTTAAAAACTTGTTTTATTAAGTATTTTTAAACATATTTTGTTTGGTTTGGTTTGGACAAAAAATATTGAATATCTTTTTTCGTAGCTAAAAATATAGCACAATGCTTCGTAGAAGAGATATCCCAGGTTTTCCACTTTTTACATGTGTACTTTATAAATATTTTTTAAATGTAAACAACCGATATATATATGGTCACTTTGTAATAATAACAACGTTTGTCACAAATAGAAAACACTTTTTATTTACTAGACTTTGATGTTTGAAAAATTACGACTTTTCCTGAAATTAAGCATCTAATTTTAATTAATTTATATATTTTTTAATCATTGCTTAGATTCTCAACTTTTATTGCAGAAAAGTCTCGTTTTAATTTAATCATTTGTTTAAAAATTATATTTTTTTTCGATGAATTTTGAATATTCGCTTCATGTATTTGCAAATAAAAATATATTGAATACATTGAAAAATATATTTGCAAATTTATTATTTTAGTTTTCATTTAAAAGATTCAAAAAAGGTATATGAATTTTTTGAACATTTTGGAAAACACAAAAATCGGATAAAAATAACCTGTACCCTTTGAAGGTATTAAAAATTACAATGCAATATAAAGGTTAATTATTGTATTATAACACAATAGCTAGTTTATATTTGAAATTTTGCAAACTGTTCTCTCGATTTTGGAATACGAAATTAATTGGGGTATTCTGCGCATGAATGAAACCACCAGAAGGAAATCGTTCTTTAAATAATATTCAGCATTGATTTAGTACAATAGAGCATATTAATGAGAATTATTGTTTAATATATATGTGACCATTGTGCATGTGTGCGGTACTGGTTTAGAAATTTTGATCACCGGCTTATCTCTCTCTGGTATTCCGTGCGCTGATATTATTATTTCCCCGAGGAAATCTCGCACTTAGCAAAAAAAAGTTGTAAACTTATAATGCAATACTCGCTTATACTCGCTTATATATTATAAACTAAACTGTCACGCGGTCATTTCACGAAATAATACCGAGGCGCGTCTTGGCCGGAAGTCTGCGCCGTATTATTTTTCTGCAGGATGTGTCGCGTAAAATCCCATCTGTGGTCGTAAAACGGAAGCTCTTTTGGAAACGTGTATGTATACACGTGGGCATTTTTTTGCGAACACGATATCTCTCTGTTCGCCGAAAAAAGGTAAATCCGCAGCGGAGCTAGTACATAATGTAAATGTTGACTCACTTTCCCAAATTCGCTGAGACCCGGTGTGGAGTCCTGAGTGTTGTTCGTCTCGCCAACAGAACAGACTGCCCTGCCAAGAAAATATCTGTTAGAACGCCGGTTTGTGCTCACGAGAATCCAGCGGTAGCACTGCGTGCTCACGCTTGCTTGTTCTCTCTTTAGATGAGCTTCTATGTGTGGGAATAATATTTTCTAAAGTATCGGATCGTCTTGTGTAAACATATTTAATACGCTGATATTTATTGTATTCAATTTCTGCCATGAAATTGCTAAGAAACCAGCGAACCATTGATCGTGGAAGTGTATTACTAATTGAAAGAATTCGATCATTACCAGCGATATCCACGCTTAAAAATAGCAACACTTTAAATTAGATTTTTATATCTAGTGTTCTTAGTTTATTAATGATTTAGATATGGCTTGAACTAAATACTCGAATAGGCGCGAGTGGATTAAGTGATTTAGGTCAAACCTACATAAACTCTGCTTTTGCGCATTTCGTTATCTTCTAGGATCACTAAAACAAGCTTCTCTTGAAGCTCATCCGAGTTGCATGTAACTTTTCAGAAATAATGCGTGTTTCCATTTACCTATTTATCGTAATTATCTCTCTTGCTGTCTGTTAAATATAAATTAATTGCTAGTAGAGCAAGTTTCAAGATAGCTTTAAAAATTGTACCTTGTAATTGTGAATGTGTAATGATTATTAAACAAGATATAATATTAAAGTTATATTAATGGTAGTTATTTTACTACTGCTAAGTATAATAAATTCCATGTTTTCTTAATGGATTTTACAAGAAACTATTATTTACAACAATTTGTTAATTTTTTTCTATAAATATTTTAGCAATCATGTTTTACAATAAATTGTTATGAAAATAATTATATTACCTGAAATTAATTAAGGTGTGATAATTTGTTATTTATATTCTTGATACTTAATTTTTACAAGTAAAAACCGTCTGCGTTTGAACTCTAATCTTTGATAAGTAAAAAAATATATATAAGTTTATTAAAAAAATTATTAAAAAGTTATTTTTCAATCGCAGTTTGATATATTGTGTCTTATTTTTTTCTTACAAAAAATGGAAATCAAAAGACATACGAAATATAGAATAAAATAAGATAAAAGTGTGAAGATTAAAAAATAAGTGAAATGAAGGCGCAAACGATATCGAGAATTCCCCATTCGCTCTCAGACGAGATGGAAACATCAGAGATGATTTGGCATCATCATCTAGAACTGCGGAAAATTCAATCGGGTCGACAATCTCACGTCCCTGGAGAGAAGAGGAAGAGGGAAGGAGGACACGCGACCGAAACAGAGGAGGGACGATAAGAGATGAGAGAGAATAGGGTCAGAGGCTGACATTAAACCACGGATACACGTCGGAAAGCAATTCGGATATTGTCCCAATAAAAGTGCGCTTTCCCTCATATGGATGCTGCAAATCTCAGGTCGCAGAGATGAAACCGCATTTTTATGACGAGTTTTCTTCAAATGTTCTATATGTTACGGTCTACACTTTCATAGGCATGCACTTTTCTAGATGTTCCAAATCATTTTGTTGTTCGAGCAACTACTATCATCTTACTTGATTCTCTTATATAGAAATGCGTAGATATTTTTTAGAAAAAATATTAATTTAATTTAGGTAGAAAAATTACTTATATTTAATTTAATTTTAAATTAATTATAATTATATTTAAATTAATTAATTTTGAAATAAAATTATATATAATCTTTGAGAAATAATATTTAATATAATCTAATTTTAATATATGAGAGAAAGAGACAGAGAGAGAGAGAGAGAGAGAGAGAGAGAGAGAAATAAAAAAAATTTATTTCCTCAATTTTTAATGTTATTACGATCTTCAATTTTCCAATTTTTGGTCACTACAGAGCTTTATAATATACATTTATTACAAATATTTTTTATTCATATTGTATTTCTTGATTAATACAATTTATTTGAATAATAAATAAAAATATATAATATAAAACAAATATAAAATAAAACACCAAAATAAATAAAAAACATATAATATAAATATCATAAAATAAAAAACATATATTACTGTTAATCTCTTTTCCCTTCATATCGAGAAAATTTGATCTCAATCCTGCCGAGAAAAGATTACCTTCCGTGTCGTGTGTGTGTGTCGTAAGACAACATTGGCGTAAATTAGGGAGTCAGAGGGGAAAAATATGTATTGTACTATATCCGAAGAGAGATTTGCACGTGAGAACCCGACGTGACTCCGATTTTTATTTACTGCGGTAAGCATCGCAGCGTCGAGGGAGACATAAAGCAGGCGAAGATCGAAAAGTGCACGGCACAAACCAGGTCGGTGCCCAATGCCGTATAATACTTCGACCTTAAAGCGGCGTTAGAGTTAGTGACATTGGCGGTCACTGTCGTAATTTACATCCCGAGAGCCAGGCAGCGAGAGCGAGGCATCTAGCGCAGCTCCTCGAGGTGTAAATCCTATTTCGTGTGGCAGGCCACAGAGGGTGAGATTATTACGGTTCGAGCATGAGTCCCCTCGCTCGTAAAAGGTACAGTGAGCGATGGATTTTCAGTGAGCAAGGGAAGTGAACGTGGTTAGTATTTTCCAAACTTCGACTGATGAAAGATATACAATACTGGTGGTTGAAAAAGAAAAGAATTGAATTTGCGTGTGTGTGCTGCGAGAAATATATTTTGTTCGATTTTATATTTAATAATGATCGTTTCGTGAAAAAGCAACGCGCGAATGTATCTTGAATTTCCGGCTACCTTCGTTCTTTATATATGAGTGTTATGTCGGAAGGATAATGGTGAGCTTTGAGGAAATAGAAACTTGAGCGCGGAATTGTTTCAAATGGCTGCGAATAAAATTACCTTTGACGAGGGAAATTTGTAAAGTGGCCGCGATCTTTGTCTACTAATTAATTGAATATAGTCACATGGGAGTCGAATGTTGTTTTGCTCTCGTATTTAATTCTACTTTATGGCTCACGCAGCTCGCAAATAACGTACGTTGGATTTCCCGCAAAAAACGCAACTCGTCGCGGGTCACGTGATTCAGGATCGAACGGATGCATAAAAGCGGGGACTTTATTTACAACTCCATGCGGTACTCGGCATCAGGGGATGCATAAACTTCAGGTTAAGGATCGATGTTTGAGGCAAAAGAGGAGAAGCGCTTTTATTCTACCATTGTTCCTCTCACAGTCGCGGAGACGCGAGCGAGCATGTATAATAATAAAGTGCGCAACTTGCATATTTTTAAATTCTGATTATACCGCGGAGAGTCGAATAACTTTTTTAGTATTTCCCGTTGATGTATCGCCGTGAAAAGAAATATGGAGTTTTTCACGATGAATTGAAATTGCAGCAAATAAATGGTGTCTTTAGAAATGATATGTAAAGTAAGATAAAAGCGGACTGCAACGGATTATTACTTTCGTACATTGATGATTGAATAAAAACGATGCTAATGCAAAGGAAGAAAGCATCGGAAAAAAATCTTATTTAATATTTTTCATTTGTTAAATAAACAATCATAATTATTATTTATGAAAATATTAAAAGAAATTAATAAATATTAAAAGAAGTTAATACACACAAATATTCTCTGTTTTTTATTTACAAATGGAAAATATTAAAGCAAATGAATTATTAGAACACAACAAATGATAGATCGAATAGTCAGATAAGCCTAATAAAATTCTAAAACACGAGTAACTCAAAGAAATATCTTTACAATGATAAATTAAGGAAGTGAAATTAAGAAAGTTAATTTCTAGACAATGTGAAGATCGTAGTCTTCTTGATAAGAACATTGTTCTTTTCTCTTTCTCCTTGCGAAACGAAATTTCTTCTTCCGTAATTTTTTTCTTCGGATGCACTAGGAAATAAGTGGCGGCTTTGGGGCGCTTCCGAAATTACTGAAAAGAACTTCCGAGCGTCCAGATTTCAGGTTACTTCGGCTCTCGGTTAAGCCGATCAACCGTGGAATTGGTTTGCCTCTAAGAGTAGATCGTGATACGAAGCACAACGAGTCTCGAGTAAAAAAACTGGATGCTCGATGAACGAGCGGCTTGTACATCGAGAAAACTTCTTGAGCGCGAGGTAAGAGGCGATAAGAACGATGTCGAAAAAGGTAACATCCTGCGGAGTTTTGATGATCTCGTGAATGAGAAACTGCAATCTCCCAACTTTAATGAAACGTACATCAGAGCAGTAATGGTATCGAGGATATTAAAATGCATTTTTTAATTTAAAAATCAAAATTTATTTTAGAAATAAATAATATCCAAATAATTAAAAAAAAAAGATATTTTTTTTAAGTCGGCGTAAAATGATAAACTCTTTTTATTGTCCATGTTTTTTTTTTTACAAATTTTAAATTTTTATTAAGTTTGGTAGGTTCAACTGAAAGCAATCTATATTATATATACAAAATGAAACAATAATTTGGTCTACTTGTAATATCTCTGTTATTTTTAGAGATACGAAAATATTGTAATTACGAAAATTGTACGATATCAAAAGGATCAAAAAGATAATAATAACTTTTCTGTGGGTGAAGACGCTTCGGAGATTCAAGATCATCTTCATTTTTTTATTAAATAGAACCATCCTAATTTGTTTATATAAATATATTCCTCGCAATTTTTGGCATAAAACGTTGTAGGATGGCCAAAAATTGAATAGTTTACAGAATATATTTGAATAATTTACAAAATATACTTTAATTTCACATAAATTATGAAATTTCCTGTAAAATATTCGTTTTTTGATTATTTTACTTCAATACTTTTATGCATAAAAAACGAGAAGCATTAATTAGTATAAAAAACATATAGGTGTTTTAAGAAAGAAATTGATATAAAATAATTAATGCATGCATATAAAATAAAAAAGAAATGTAATTTTTTTATATCAATTAATTCTTATCATTATTTTGTGCATAAAAATATTGAAGTAAATCAATCGAAAAATGAAATTTATAAAATATAGTTTTTATGTAAAATTAAAGTATGAAAATATAGTTTTATGTGAAATTAAAGTATAAAATGTTTCGTAAACTTTAAATTTTTAACCAATTATTTATTTTTATAATTTTTTATACCAAATATTGCAAGGAATCGATTTGTATAAACAAATTAAAATTTCTTTCGCTCATTTTAAAAAATGGTATAAGTAATCTTGAAAATTCCGAAATATGTGCTTGCAAAGAAAAATTGTTATTAGCATATTATGACTCTCTTGATATCGTATAACTTTCGTAATTACAATATTTTCACATTTCTAAAAATAACAGATATTCCAGATAAACAAAATTATTGCTCTACCTTGTATATATCTATATGTATATATGAAAGTGTATATATAAAATATTTATTTTATATTAATTTAAATACCTTCATCTTTTTCTCAATGTAAAGAATGCTAATCTATTTTTAAATATGCTCAATATAGGAAACATAATAATGTAAACTTTTATTATTACTTTAGTTTTGCTCGTAGATGATTAAATTTGATTGTAGTAAAATACTTTTTTATTATCAAAATTGTAATTCTTTATTAATTTTCACGTCATGTGATTACTTTGTTATAAGTCTATTATTTCTCGTTGCGATTTAAAAAATCACGATAATTATATTGTTTTCGAAAAAGGTTCTTGTACACTCATAATTCATACTCACCAGGAGGTGTCGCACGCATGTGTCAAGGTAAGATATCGCGCTCCCAGACCGTAAAATGTCCTGAGAACGCCCAAGGAATTCCCCAGGGAGTGACCCCCTTCTACTCCGATTAGACTTGCGATTTTTCCTTCTCTATGCGCCTCAATGAGACCTATACAGATATATGTCATGATTTAAATAAAATCTATATTGATAACATTTTGATACATTAATTTTTAAGAAAATAAATTATTCGATGAACAATATAAATTTTTTATCTCTCTATCTTTTTTTCTTAAAATAATAAATTGTTTTAAAATATTTTACGAATGAAAAATATTGATGTAATGTACACTGCTATTAAATAAATCGTATTTATAAGTATTCATAAGTATAATTGCATCGAAATACTCTAATTTATAACAGTTTATTATTCGATATATTATTAGATATAATAAAATTAATATTATTTTGGATTGATATAATATTAATGTTATTTTAAATAATCAAGAATTTTTAATACGTTTTGGAGCGTATTATTTTTATCTTACACATAGAAACTCTATGATTATATAGTCGGTCATGTTTTAGCGATTAAACGTTGTAAACGCGCTAAAAATTGCGATACTGTTGACAATAAATTCGCCAAGAATACTCGAACCTCGGGGAACACGAGTTATTTGAGGTTCATCCCCTCTCGTAAAACTTCGAATCATCTTCGGTGAACTTTGTTCTCGGCCGAATTATGTTCCTTCCGTGAATCAGCGAAGTTTCGTTTATTTTTTCGTCATATCTCGTCGACGCGAGTTTTATAATTCTCCTTTTTTTCTTCCGTGTGAGATTAAAATGACATACTTTATGAGATTAAGCGGGACCTCTCGGATTCGGAGGAATTATGGTGTTCATAGATTATTTACAATCACGGTCGGTGAGGAAATCTCGGAAAGTCACTCCCTCTCCGGACCGGTTGAAAAAGTGAATGAAAAGATCGGAAAAAATCGGCTTCCAGATCCGCTTTCGAAAGTGCTTTCAGGAGGACTGTCGATCGCCTCATTGAAACTTTCAGGCGGCATCGAAACGACGGTGGGTATTAAGCTGGTTGATTTATCGTACTTTACATCGAACATATCGATCCCTGCGAGTTATTTATTTAGTCGTATATCCTGGAAGTTTGCTTTGCTGCGGTATTAATGATATATACATTTATCTATCTATAATCTCATAGATTAATGATAGATTCGTCAGACACGTAAACTTCTTCATCATCCTGTTGCTTTTCACTCACTCCCTCAATAAGAGTTCTCTTTCACTCTCTACTTCTTATTACCGAACTTATACGATTCACGATGTCTCGTTCATCTCTTTGCACAGCTGTCGGTAGATTGTTATTGATGTGTTTAGTTGATATAATTGATATAATTGAATTTGTGCAGACCGCACGAGAGAGTCGGATCAATTTCAAGGATATGGAATATACATCTCTGTCTTTCCTTTTTAGTTTCTTTCTCTCAAGTTTCTCTACTTTCTTCGCTTTCTTACAAGATAATCTAGTTTTAATAAATATGCTTGCCTTATACTTTTATTTCGCAATATGTTGTAAAACGTTTTATGACATTAAGCAGAACTTAATTTTTTATTTAGGAAAAGAAAAAAGTGGAAAAAGAAGATAATTAATGGCTCAACTATAGAATTTCGTAATTAATGTGATAGAAAATTCACAATATGAAATAATTGTAAATTGTACAATAATAAATGTAACTTGAGAATATTATGGAGGATAATTCCGCGAAGAAATTCTGAACAATTAATATTAATCCAAAGTTTTTATATATGCCTTTGCTTTATGTAATCTTTTATCATAGCAGACTACACTAAAGCACTTTATATAGCATTTAATATGATTTAATATCTTTTATCTCGATACAAGAAAGCCGTATACTATCTATTGAGAAACGCGCCACTGATCTCGAAAATTAAAAAGCTGGTAATCTCCTCTTGTAACTGTTCTCTGCTGCTTTGAACGAAGCTCGCTCGAAAGCAGCTTGCTTCTGCTCAAAAATAAAACGAATCTAAATGAATATGCCTAGTGCTTTAACGAGATTCCTGTTTTCATTATTAATTGCTATATCTCCAGCTGAGTCTTCCACCACATGCGGTGTATAATATAACATCTAAGAAAGTGCCGGTTCGCCTATAACAATTATGCATTACATGTTTAAAAGCTTTGCTAAAATATAATGAAGAAAGATCCTTATACAATTATTATAATTCATTAATTTATTATTATCAATAAGTCCATTTTTAGTCCGACTACTAATTATATTAAAATAATTATTTTATTAGCGTATTTTTTTGCATGGAATCAGAGAATTTACTATGTATATTATATAATATATTGTTTAACTATTAATTCAAAAAATACTGAATTAAAGTACATTAACGTTTAATAAATTGGCATTTTTTGTGCACTAAATTTCTAAATTCAGTGCAGTAAGTTAACAATATTGCGGTTTCGACCACATCCAAGCACTATTGTGGAACAGGTTTTTGTGCACGAATCGCTGGCTTTTCCACCTTTTGCCTTCTTCGTGCCGCGACCTCCTTTTCACTTCCCACTTGGCGAAGTTTCTCGAGCTTATGAAAATGGCTGACAGCTTTCCAGACCGAGTTACTCGCGGTAAGTTCCATTGCAAGGCTTTCGTTTGCAAGGTAGCTCCAGTCCTATTTCTTCGCTCGCCCTGTTTTTTATATTTCAGCGACGTACACATCTTTATTTGCAATACACGACGTATGTCCAATCGATTATCCATTTACATAGGTGTAATCGCTGCAAAAGGGCCAAGTTTTTCATTGTCGAAAAATTAAACTATCAATCATAAAAAAATCTATGCCAAATAATTAACTGGATATACATTGTGCATTTTAAATAAAATTATGCGCATTAGTAATGATATAAAATAATTTAAAAATTTTATTAAAATATTTTTTGCTAATAAAAAATCTAACTAATAATTCCTTTCATAAGATTATTATGTCTTTTTAGTGATGATGTATAATTTGAATCTATAATCCTAATTTTTCTACATGGATTATTTATGCAACATTTGCCAAAAGTTTCTGCTATATTCTTATCTTTTGTTCACGTGACTTCGGTTTGATTTCAATGAGCTAATGAAAATGGCAGTCGGATTCCAGTTACTTATTGTCGCAAAAACTTTCGCAAGCTTTCTGCCATCCTTCCCTTTTCTTTTCTTTCAGATTATGTGTACAGTTTACTTTTTATTTTTGTGCCGGTGTTACTTTGGTATTTTTTTCTCCTTTTCCAGAAATACCTCTCCCTTTCTTTCATAAAAACAGCTACTGCATATTCGATGAAATTTATTCTCCATTAGTCGGTTTCACAAACATTCCACAGATTTAAAGTTAATGGACGATAGATTGACCCATCAATTTAAAAAAAATTTTTGTAATCAATTTTCGTTAAAAATAGAAAAGTTTAATAGTCATCGGCGCGAAGCGGTGTGTTCATAAAACAAAAAATATTTGCATGCAGTGTTTTGCAATCTTTTTATCTTTTTCCTGTATTAAAATACATTTTTAATACAATAGTTTACATACATAACAAAATTGCTAGTTTGAAACAGTAGCTATAAAAAATTACTTAAAAAAATTTTTGTAAGTATGAATATATACAGAGTGTAATATGATAGAAGTTGATTACTGCAGAAGTTGATTAATTGATTTTCTGTTAACATTAAAATATTGATGATATATATTTTTTATATTAATTTATATCAAGATTAGTTTAAATTGTAAAGGGATGAAGATTCGTAAAAAATCTTGTCTGAATTGAATCTTTTTCAAGCAAGCCTCTTAATATCGTTTTTTTTTAGTACAACCTATAATATATTCGACTTCATCGAATATTATAAAGTCAGATCCTCCGTGTTATCTCATGAATCAGTGAGAATCTTCGTCATGGAGCGGAGATAGCTTCATACTTTTGTCCACTGACGATAAATCTTCCACAATACAAAGTTATGCCATCGAGTCGAATCCAATAACGACTTTCCTCTTCAACTTCGGAGAAGTCGAGCAATTAATAGCGACCCTTTATTCTCTTGAATTGTCTCGATGAGAAACTTTCTCTAAGACGTCGCTCTCGTATCTATTGGTACCTTGGCGACTAGCGTGTTACATTTAATAACGTAATATAATACGATCGTCACAAGAATTCTTTCGGTTACAAAAGATGCACCTCAAGCTAGCCGAATTGCTGAAGGACAACGGGAATTCCTGATGAAATACTTATGTACCAAATTCATTGTATGCGCTTTGCTATTGTTGAAGCTTCTGCTCAAGCTCGTAAATAATTCTCAATTTTTCGTATCAGCTGGATGCATTGTATTGTTCATGTAATATAAACTATTATTTATTTAAAAAATTAATTTTATTATCATACATGTCATTGCATTAAATATATTTTATCGGAGTAAAAAGAGAGGATACTTTCACTCGTGAAGAAATGGAAAAAATAAACGCATTGTATCTTTTCTAATAAAAATAAATGTGTATATATTATAAACTTCTTATCGATATTAGAAAAAATAATAAAAAATAGCAAAAAAATGTGTTCATGTAAAATGCAACGAAAAAAAATGATAACGATAATATATAATAAGCGGAAACATTAGACGTGAGTCACTGTTAATATAACTTACTTACCTTTAACAGAGGTAACCAGGGTTAAGTGTTGAGCATTCATTTCGGCGAGTCGACGAATCACATCGATCTGTTCCAGCGAGAGTTGAACTGCGTTTAACTGAGCGGCACCGCAAGGAACGTAGGCGGACCAAAACTGAAAAAAGGATTGTATCGCATTCTTAGAGTGTTCCGAAATAGTTGGATATTATTTTTATAAATATGAAATGATACAAATTGCATATGAAAAATAAAAAAACGCAATAATTAAAGTGATTCTATATAATATCAAATATTACATATAATAATTAAATAAAAAAACAAATATTAAAAGATATTAATACGTTTTAAAGTTATATTTTATTGTTAAACGATAAAAGCATAATAATAACACTATTTTGCTAATTAATATTAAAATATTTATGGCGCACGCAGTACTATATGTATATGCGACATAGAAGTTCATTTATACTCGATATTTATGTAATACTCGATATTTTGATTTTCATCTATAATGCAATTTTAAAAATATTTTATCTCGTAAGATATCTGGAAAATAAAAATCTTCTAAATCTAAGAGAATCGATTTTATTAGAATATAACTTTATATAACTTTTAACTATTTTATTAACTATTATTTATTAACTATTATTATTAACTATTTTATTAACTATTATTATTATTTTTAAACTATTATGTGTAAACTATTATATATAATAATAATTAATAATTATATTAAATTATTATGTTTAACTATTATTTTTTTAAACTATTTTTCTTTTGTAGATACAGTATTGATTAGAAACAGTATTGATTGATTAAAAATATTTTTACAAAATGAAAAGAGAGCAAAAATATTTTATATATATAAGCATTGATATAAATTACTCAGATCAAAAGTAAATGCATTTTGCAAAGTTATGCAGAAAACTTTTTATAAAGAGGAAATCCGTGAAATTGCGCATTCCTCTGTTGGACATTTCATTCAGCTCTGGAGTTAGGAGCCGTAGTAAAGCATCGTGGTGGCGTATTCTAAACGGAGGATTATTAACTGTATCTCCCGCGCATTCGCGTGACTTTTATAAGGTCATATTATATTGCCACGTAATTGTTCACACCGTTTTATAATTGTCGAGCAAGATAGATGTTACCAGCATTTTATATTAAATAATCCAAATTTGATTTCCATGTGAAATAGCTGTTTAAATGAAAAAGATCGATAGTTTTTTTATTTATAAGAAGAATACATTATACACACATTTCTATATTTTATTAATCCCTTAAGTATCGATTATTTTATTCGTATTCAATGCCTATCCTTTTCTTTGTTCGCGCCACATATCGGAGAAAAGAATTAATTGAATTGAAAATTTCAATATTTAAAATCAAACATTTTTCTCAAAATCAAGGAAATTAATCAAGAAACTTTCAAAATTTCTACTTTTTGTACTTTTTAATTTACATGCAAAAAGAAACGCAAAAATTTGCAATTATACGTAAGAATTTGATATCCATGATCGAATCTAAGAATCTATCATAGAAAAAATAAAGTATAATTTTTTTCTATTAATATTCGATCATGAAGTGTTAAAATTTTTATATGTATTTGCAATTTTTTGCGTTTTTTTGCATACAAATTAAAAGATAAGAAGATTTCGAAATTTCTTAATTAATTTCTTATATTTTCAAATTTCTGATATTATATATTGAAATTTTTGAAATTGAGATATTAGAAACATATTTAGATATTATATTTCTTGTTTTTTGACAATTGTCTCTTCTGATTAAATCGGCATAAAATATATTCTTGCGATCCGAATTCTCACATTCATATTGTGTCGGTTTTAATTTCTACTCATACATAATGTAATAATCTAAATATGCTTATCTATCCACAGTTGGTGCAGCTATACATAGCCTCTTGTGGCGTTGAGTTAAACGTTCACGGTACTCAGCGAATGTTGAATTCCCCAGATCGGTCGAGCATTCGACGTGCGTCGTCGAGTAATCGAACGTCCATATCGTCCTAACGAAGGGAGAGATGCGTAGCACGCAGCTAGTTGTGGGTATACGGTATTCGGTCCGAATTTCACTGCGCTCTCTCGGCTTTGAGAGAGCTAGCGTTACCAATTACTCGATGGTCTAATTAGCGCTGAGTTGCCGCGCGTTGGCGTAAATATTGAATTTCGGTTCCGAGTATAGTCTAACGCGATTGGCATTCTCGATTCTCGCGTCGCCGGTCTTCTCTTTCGATGTTATACTAATCTAAAGATGTAAATAGAAAAAAAATAAAAAAATTTTTTTTCATAAAATATTTCATATAGGTATATTTTTTTAAGAGAAAAACAAGCGTTTTTTTCTTAAAAATGATTTTTTTCCAGACATTTAATGTCTATAATATTTTAATTATTGTAATTTGATTTTTTATTTTTTAGATTTTGAACTATAGATGATAGATTTGAATTAATTACCATTATTTTAAATGTAAATCGCATTTTCCATGGCTATATAATTATGTAATTAATATTTTAATTAGGTAAATTGTGCGAAACAATGAATTGTTTTTAGTTTTTATTATAAGTACCAAAAAACGATAATTTTTAAAAATATATTTTAGTTACTATTTTAACATATTAAAAAAGATTAAAATTCTTGCATTTTTTCGAAAAAAATTTAATAGATTAATGAAACTTTTTAATTAAAATTATATAAAACACAACATAATTTGGAAAATTTTCAATTAAATGTATGATAAAAATTTGTGTTTATCCAAATTATGTCGTGTTTGCAATTGATCGTAAGTATTTCATTAATTCATTTAAATTACTTTTAAAGAAAGATACATAAATTAAAAATATAACTTTAATTTTGTTCAACATGATAATTTTAATAACGAGCAATAAGAGCCCACAACCGCGGATGGCAATGCGTGAATTATTTCGAACATTAATTGTTCACGAAAATTTTAAGGCATATGCACATATGCCAAGTTATAGATTCTCTTGGTTTGAGACTTCTATAACACCCCCTTTTACCCCCCTGGAGAGATGTAGACAGGAAAAATATCGGGGCGAAGTCGCTGAATCGGGAATCGAACCCGAGTCTTTCGCTTGCTTTAATTTTGTTGTTATATTAAAAATAAATAAAATATGTATTTTTCCTTTGTTGAAAAAATGATTCTTTTTACATTTCTTTATACTAATCGCATGACGATGTGGATGCGGTGATAGATCAGGATACTGCGAGGGGATAAAAGGGAAAGAATATATATGAGGAAAACACGGAGAGAGAGAGAGAGAGAGAGAGAGAGAGAGAGAGAGAGAGAGAGAGAGAGAGAGAGAGAGAGAGGGAATCAAAGAGAAACAGAGAAGAAGCTAGAGAAAAAGAGGGGTAGAAAGAAAAGCAGGTAAGATGCAAGATGGATGGTACCGGGAGTTTCTATGCAACTGAAATGAATTCTCTTTCGATGGAAACATTGCTTTACCATTGTAGCATTTTACGAACAGCTTTTCGATGCTTGCACCCGCTGCATTATCGCGCTCTGCGATATATATTTCCAATTTTTCGATAACATTTAATAAAACGAATAAATGTGAATAAAGATACTTGTATATTATTATTATTATTTATTTCAACCCCGCGATTACGGATATAACACAAAGCGTGGATACTGAGCTCCTTAATAAATTGAAAAATTGTCTGTTCAACTGTTACAAATACTCGACACTCTCCGTAGAATCCACGAACCTAATGCATACGATTTATCGCTCTCGGCAGTAACGAGCTACCCGAATTCAAATAATCCACGCGGTGTTTTGCGCGGTAATTTACGCGAGTGCGGATGTGCGTGACGCGCGCGTAGACATCTTTCCGGTATATCGCGCGGCAGAGAGAGAGAGGGGAGGAGAGAGAGAGAGAGAGAGAGAGAAAGAGAGAGAGAGAGAGAGAAAGAGAGAGAGAGAGAGAGAGAGAGAGGGTTATTCGTCATGGGGAAATAGACGCACGGGGATGCTAATAATCTGACGCCCTTAACTGATGGAGTTAGCATCGCGAGCGGAGAACGGATCTGACGTTTCCCATCTTCCGGACACCCCGCGTCGCGGCAGTTTGCGCGAACGATCGTATGGCAAATCGCAGTTAATAATGATATCGCGCGGGGTGGGAAGGGGATCCGGCAGATAAAGCCGTCCGACCGGAAAGCTACGTGCCTTCTTGCAGAAGGAGAGCAGATAACACACCAACGAGGCCCGAGTTGAAAACATGCGACGGCTGCCAACGGAATATCCGCTCGATAGCGACGCGACGTTTCGAGAAATCCGGGGCGGAAAGCGTGTATTTATCGAAGAAAACGTATCTCGAGAGCGTCAGCATAAACTGGATAAACAAGGACGCGGATTAAATACAAGCGGCTTCGTCGTCGCTTCGCGGAATAACGTCAAATCTTGCAGACGTAATTGCGCTAATAAACGCCAAGATGCTTGAATTTATGGGTAGCTGAGAGAAGCGCAAAAGAGGTGGATGCACGTTCATCCCCCGGCTATCTGTGACGTTGATACCTCATTGTCGACGTGCAGGAGTCAACTGACAATAAGCGAGAAACATTATATTTCAGTTCGCAAAAACAATTGTTTTATTGTATTTATTCGAAATAAATGAAATATCTACAAATTTACATTTTTCTCCCGTAAATTTTTCTCTTCGACACATTTACGGCTTTTAAATAATAATAAAAATTGTTATATTTTACACTTGTTATATTTTTTTGTTATTTTATTTTATATTTTTTCAGTTGAAATTTGCCAAAACTTACCGGAACTCGGTGAAAATGCACATTATCTGTCTTGTGTGTTCACATAGAGAAAATTACAATATATATGTTCTCTTTGCTAAGGCAAAGTCGCGCGATGGAGGAGAGCTCTCGAAAACAAAGCTTTGATGCGTTTTGCGCGCAAGTGCATCTACAGTGAGACTTCTCTTGTTTCGTATTCCCTCGAAACGGCTTTTTCCCGACAAGAAAATCACTTTCTCACAGCCTGTGCCAAGGGATATTTTCAGGAGGAAAGTCGTGGAGAGAGACAGGTGGTAAGAGTACAGTTTAGAGTAAACACAACGGCGAGTCGGGGTTGTTGGTCGTCCAACGTGGCCGACTTCGCGGGT